GTCGTCGGGGCAGAGACGACACGGAGGGCGTGGATTGAGCGACTGCGGTAGGGGTGGAAGTGGCGGAACGCGGCTGCGGCGCACGTGTTCGCGCGTAGATGGAAGCTGCAGCGGATGAGGTGGATGTGCCCGAGTTGAGGAGAGAGTAGACGTCCTTGAGGCTGAGGTCGGAGGTGGAGGTGGGCCTGGACGACTCGATGCGCTGGCGCGCCTTGAGGCGGTCGATCTGGGTGTGGATGTGGTTGGGGTAGATGCGCGCCTGGCGGTAGAGCGCCGACGAGCCGATGGGCGCGACGATCAAGTCGTGGAGCTGCCTTTCGAGCTGTTTGACGAGGTCGATGAGCTCGGACTTGTGGAGCAAGGAGAGATACTCGTCGCGCGTCGAGGCGGGCAGCTGTGTGCCCGGGACGGCGGGGACGAGGTTGAGCGGGCCGACGCCGGCCTGACGAGAGAGCGGGCTGCCTGGCTTGGGTATATTGGTGACGGTGATGCCTGAAGCGGTGTTTGTGGCTCTTGCGGTGACCGGGAGGGTGGAGAGCGGACGCGCCGTGGTGATTGCGGATGCGCTCGACGAAAGGGCTGGGTTCGAGGAGGCAGGCGACGTGGCGGCTGATGCAGCGGAGGCAGCGGACGTCGAGGTGGATCGCGCGGAGCTGGGTGCAGGAGTCGGACGAAGCTTCTTGTTGGCAAGGTCGACCGACAAGGGCGACTGCCAGGATCGCTTGTGCGACAGGGTGGCGGCGCCATTGCCCGTGGCGGAGAGTAGCGGCTTGGAGGGCGAAGCATACTTTTGGCGCGTTTCCTGGGTTGGATAGGCGGTGGCAAACGACTCGGAGGCGCCGGCCTGAGCTAGCCTCGGCGCCTTGTACGGCGATGGCAGATGGATCTGCTTGGACGCGGAGGCGGAGGGCGTGGCGGAAGGCGTGGCTGCTGCGCGGTCGGGTGCGTTGCCTAGCGGCGTTGGTGGCAAGACGCGCGTGGGCGTGGCATTGACGTTTGCGAATGGCGTGACACTGGCGGGTGCGGTCGCCGATGATGGCTGAGCAGCATTGGTGGCGCGTGGCAGCGAGACCGACGACTGGGATGGCGGACGCGTGGATTGGGACGCGACTGCAGCGGCGGTGGCGGGCGCGATGGTCGGAGAGCCTGGTGGCGAGGCGAGGTCGATGGGCTTGGCCAGCGTGCCGAGATTGGTGGAAGCGAAGTCGACGGCGGCGGCAGCGTTCACGATGGCGGGCGAGGCCGAGGTGGATGGATCATGCCGACGCGTCGCGGATGCATCGGTGGATGCGTGGATGGCATCGTTGGACGACTGGCGCGTGGGTGGTGTGTGTGCGAGTGGTGGTGGGGCTGAGGATGGAGCGGGCGAGGGAGACGGCGCCGTTGCGGCGGTCATGTCGGGCTCGAACGGCGAGCAAGGTGCGGCGCCGGATTGCGAGCACTTGGTGGGATGGTGAATACAGTTTTGCGAGCCATGGAAATTTCAGGTTGGTGGTGGTGTGACCTGGCTCCTGAAACTGTAACGCGTCGGCACCGCACGAGGCAGACGCCATCCGCCGCCATCGCGTTCCGCTGGGCAACGCAGCGTCGTCGCTCGCGGCGAAATTCATTCAAAATGTTACGCCGCTGACACGCGGTCGCTCAAGCCGCATTTCCACGCTCACGTCGCCCGCAATCCACTCGTCCGCACAATGCCGCACCCGCACCCGCACAGGCACGCCTCACTACTGTTAAGCGCGAGGGGTCTGGGAAACTCCGGTGGGCTGGGTGGTAGCGGTGTGGAATCCTTAGGCAAAAGTACCGGTGTGAGGGCCGGCGTGTCTCTAGTAGGCTGGTGTTACAGGCCTGGAATAGACTCCTGGCAG